CTTCTGTCCCCTCCCAAGTGGACTGCACAATCCAGAAAGGCCAGACAGTCATCTCTGGCATCCTCACGAGTGAATTTGATGTTGTCATCCACAAAGTTGATATGTTTGGTGAAAGCCTCTACCTCCTGGGTTTTTGTAAAAATAGAACACCCCTCACTAAATAGGGGTGGTGGACTAAGACACAACTTGTCTTCCATCTACAACCCTGTTTTGAGAGCTCTGCCCAAACATGCCCACCAGGACAATAGGCGTCGGTCGACAGGGGAGGATTCAAAGACAGGTAACAATGCTCACCGATACTGGGCTATAAGGACTTAGTCATTAAGGGACATTGTTGGCCTTCAAAGGACTGAAACCACACCGAGGGGGATAAATATCTCTGGCTCAACACCAGTCAGTCAGAACTGATGAAGCCTCTTGGATGAGAAGTGAAACGTCTTCGACCTAGAAATCTAGTCCAGTTGATTTTTTTCAGTATACACAAAGACCACAGTTGTGAAACAGAAGCTTCTAACTATCACTTACATCATGGCTCTTTTCAGCATTGAGGTAAGTGTCCACAAATATCCCAAGTCCAATGAAGTGGTTCATGTTGCCAAACACGGGACCTGCAAAAAAACAGTGAGCTACATTGGGGCATTTTGTACAAACAGGCTCACATTAGCCAGCACAGAATGCTTTGAGCTGTTGTACTTTTTACACAAGTCATTTCTGTCACAGTTGTTATCTATCAGATCTCTAGGGTTAGCAAAATCCTTTTCTGCTTCTTCTAATTCTACAGCTGATTAAAACCAGAGTAAGATAATAAACAAGCTTGTTTCCCAAAATGTTGGAATGTTTCTTTAAAAAAAAAGAAAAAAAATGAACTTTTTTGTTGAATACTAAAAGGAACCAACCATTAATACTGGGCTTTCCTGAAACACTGTGGACCATACTGTTTCACATTAATAAACATTTTTCGCTGTTAAGAACATGACAATACAGTGTTTCTACCTACCTTTCTGCATGCGGTCTTTAGTTAACCAGATGGCCATCCCATCCCCATTGAAATTCTTCTTTCCCTGACCAAAGATTTTAAATTGCACCTGGAGCTCCCAATCCTTCAAGAAGAAAGGCTAGAAAGCAAAAGACATTAAGACAATCTGGTAATTCCTGTGCTATGATGTGTGTGCATGAATTTGACAGTGGAACTGATCAACAGAGGTGGGGCTCTCCAGTCAAGACTTAAGTCACAAATTTGAAAACTTGAGACTGCTTGGTAAAAGACCACTTGACTTTAACTTGGTATTCATGACTTGAGACTTGATTTAGACAAAACAGATTACTTGAAATTACTTCTATTTTTATTAAATATTTGCATTTTTCTAAAAATTGTTATTGAAACAACTGGGGGATTTCTAGTGCACAAACCCGGCAACCTGTCAGAATGTGGCAGACCAGCGGTGGGTAACACAGGTCACAGGAAATAACATTTGGATTCAAGGATTATGTTGCTGATGATGATAGGAAGAAGAGAAACACAAATACACAACAACATCCAATTTCATCCATCACTACAAAACTCACAAAGACAGCCAAGTATGTGAATATGACACTTCAGCCGACTTATTGGCTGGTCAAACATTAACTAGAAAGCCATTGTCCAATTTAAGCTTTTAGACTTGGCTTCAAATTTGTTAACTAGAAAAGGCATGCCTTTTTATATAATATCTCAGGGTTAGTTTATAGCCAACGAATGCACAGTTAAGAATCAGATAAGGGTTTTGAACTTTTCACTTAAATACATGATATTCCTGTAACAAATCATCAGAATTTTGTATGACGGCTTGTGACTTGCCACAGTAACTTGGGACTCGCTTGAGACACAATGTTTAAAACTGGAGACTTGCATATGTATGACTTAGTCCTACCTCTGCTAAATAACACATTAATCTGGTGTGGTAGTGTCGGTAAACATATAGGTCTACATTATAGTCATAAAATGCTTACATAATGTAAGCATGACATAAATTAAACAAATGCTTAAAATATGTTATTTTCATATCAAAGTCTTGGTTAAGTAGTCAGGTTAATGTACACTTTTGACAATTTCAGAGTAGTGTGAGAGTGAGGTAGGATATGAGAGGTTAAGGTCAGAGTGAACATCTCTGGTCCCTGACCACTAACACAAAGGCAAAATGTAGGTTTTGCCGTTTGCTGCCGTAGACTTACAATTCGACTCCACACAGCTCCTTGTCTGCTCTGCATGTCTGGGGTCAGCCTCACATGGTCAGGGGTAACCACAGCAGTGCCCATCAGATCCCACTGCGAAGAACTAGAGAAGCCCAATCCTAAAATAACAGCAATATACCTGTTAGTGTATACACTATTGTGACTACCGTTAGCTAGCTTGTATTTATCCAACTATTCTCTGCCAGCGGACAATACAACAGAACAGGCTCCCTATTTTCCAAACTGACCTCAAAAATATCTTTTTAATTTTATTTTATTTAGCAGCAAAACACACTCCAAACACAGTTTTGTTTAAACATGAGGCTATTATGGTAAATTTGATATACAAATGATACACCACAAAAACAGTATCTCATGAATATTGCGTAACTGCCTTTAACAACTACTTGATGTTAGTGAAGAATTGTGCCAGTTGCCATCTTACTGTAATACTAACTGCTGTACTGGGTGTACAAGGAGCACGATGCCAACAAAACTGTAACACTTTTAATGTTAAGTGTTATTAATGTAGCATTAACTTGGATATTTAAGGAAATATGTGCCTAGCTGCATGTGGGATGGTCTCCTATGCAGCGGGTGAGACAGGCCCAATCCAGATTGAGACAAAGACATCATCACTGTCAAAAACAGTGGACTATTACAGGCCACAGACACAAAGAAGGGGTCATTTTCTATATTAACAGAATTTTTAACATTCCCCAGACAGAGACGACAGTGTTTCCCACAGAATTAGATACTATTTGTGGTGGTAGCTCATGGCAGTGAATTTGTTTGGTTGTTTGTTAGTTAAATATAGTAATACTACAGTGCTTCTGTGTTTGGTGTTGTGCTGTTCACTTGATCTGTCCCTTCTGCATGTTGGCTGCTCCTCCTCTCCTATTGTACATCTCTCTCTTCCTGATCCTCTCTTGCTGTTTCAGCAGCATTGGTTGAAACCAATAAATATTCAAATCAAATCAACTAGATCGCTAGTCACACAACTATGTACTTCTCTCAAGACATGGACTAAAAGAAATGGTTGACACAAGTTACCGGCAAATGAAAGAAAAGGTGATGGCGGAAGTTAAAAAAAAAAAAAACCCAAAACAAAGTTAACTCTGTGGCTCTAACATCTGACATGTGGACCTTGATTAACATGGAACCATATCTTGTCATTATATAAATGATGGAACCAAGCTGTCCAATGCTGTGCTGGGGGTCATAAGATTTCCTGAAAAACACACAGCAGAGCACATATAGAGCCAAGACTATATTACAACAGAAAGAAAGTCACCTTCGGCTAATCTCGTTTAGGGGTCGCCACAGCAAATCGTCACACTGATGGCTCTCGTGTTGATATTTGGCACGTGTTTTACGCCAGATGCCCTTCCTGACGCAACCCTGATTCAAACCCGGGGCATAAGGGATAGTCTTACGTCTCACCACATACCGTGCTTCAAACATGACCCCTCTTCAAAAGCGGAACATTCCATACTTGAATTTTGTTGTACAGAACGCCCTGTCTCAGAGCAAGGCACTGGAGGAGATTCGAGGCCAGACACATGAACTTGTTTCATTCTTCCGGTCAAGCACAAATGCCACGGAGAAGCTGTCCACTATCCAGCCACAAAACTCATACCCATAGTCAGGATGATTTTCCATAAATTGAATGAGAAAGCTCAAAGACCAGCATCTCCAACAGCAACTGAATTAGTTGGAAACCTCATTACCAACCTCAAGCAATGCTTTAAATGCACCGGAACCAGTAAACACCCTGGCAAAGGGACCACTGCTGGACCCCAGCTTCAAGGTCTTGGCCTTTGGAAACACCTCTAACACTGTCAAAGCAGTTAAAGAACTAACTGCTGAATGCAGCGCTCAAATCCTCTCAGCATCCATACCCCTGCACCCACCTGAATCCTGTCATCTACATCAGGTTGAATATAAAGCATTTTGAGATGTTTTGAGTCTGAAAGTGTCACATATACAGTATGTAAACCGCAATCATAAAAATGTTTTCTTCATCAAGAGCAGCAGCGGAGCAGAGAGGTGAGGAAGAAGAAAACCTCTGGGATCTGCTCGACAACAAAGTTGAAGAAACTCAGAAGGCCCAGAGTGCCACTGTAGATGCCACAGTGGAGGTTCAGCACAGTGTCAGTATCATACCTGAGTGATCTTCTGGAATACTGGATCACACACAAAACCATCTACCCTGTTTCATTTAGCTGTGTATTCCAGCAACATCTGCCCCATGTCAGAGAATATACTCTAAAGCCGGAGATGTTTTATACAAAACAAAGTTTAAGTCCAAAAACATCTGACCAATTTGTTTTTCTGAATAAAAAGTAACAAGTCACAAGCACTCCCCATCAGAGAACGCAGGCCTGCTTTCTACAGTTTTGTTGAAAATGTTAGTCATACCCATTTGGAGATGCATCTATAAATAAATATCCATAAATGGAATATATTATATAGATAGATAGCTAACATATATAATATATAGATGATAATAATATATAGAAGCTTTATTGTCAGATAATTAAGTTACACACAATGATATTATGAAAATGATTCAAACACTGATAACACTTTTCCCCCATCAAGGTCCAGTCACAAAAGCATTTGTCACCATATATACACATACATAAATCTCACCAAATTATAAATGTCTACTGAATCGTTCAGTCCACATGTTGGTAGTTTCTTATTATATTTACTGGCATTTGGCCAGCAGATGTTACCAGCTCTGGTGATTCAAATATTTCACAACAAACCATTTTCTTAAGTATTTGGTTCAATTGGTTCACAGCTTCAGAAAACCTCGTTTCTGCCATCAATACTGTGCATTATGTGACAACATAAATACTGTTCAAAAGGCCTAGATATAAAATATTTTGTGACACTAAACATTAATGTATTTTAGTTAAGACTAGTGTGACTGTTTAACCTGAAAGCTGATACTGTAACGTAGGCTAATCTGAGGAAGGATCCGGAGACAGAAGTTGCCTGTTTCACTTTTTATTTCGCCAAGGCACTATGGGGCTGTGGGTGTCGCTCTGCCTTCCAACGCTACAATATTTAACATTTCACGAGTCGTGATGTGGTGCAATCAGAGAACGCTATTTATTAAATGATGCTATTACTTTTAGTACTTGGCAGCTGGTGGAGATATTCTCATTCTTAAGATTGTATTTGTAACACCTCGCCATACTTCTCAGTGACTGGATCACAGAGAAACGCCTTAAGCACAACTGACATCTGAAATATCTTCCACATAATTAAGTCACGTGGTTTGCTTCATTTACTGTTTACTGCACTCCAAAACAAAATTTCTCTAGTTGTAAAGCACGTTTTATTAATATTAATGCCCCACTGTTACGGTGTGGACTAACATAATTTCCCATACTGTGACATTACCGAAACTGTGCAATCACAGTTGCCTCAGGGACACAAAGTTCCCTTATTTGGCTAATTATTACCTATCCTGAGTAGCTAACGTCGAAATAGTATTGGCTGTCCAACTGGGCTAAATAGCTCAAAATGCTAATACGCCGCTGGAAGAATTGCAACTACTGGTTAATATTATCTAGTTAAATCAGTCACAATAGTTAGCTATTGTAAACGAAGTCGCTAGTTGACTAAATAACTTATCTTACCACGGTATGGCTTTGCCAGGGAATATTCACGCTTCAGAAACTCCTCCATGAAGTCCTGGTCATCTGCCAACGACTGGCTCATTAAGATATAAAGGGTAACAAACAAACATGTTAATTCACGGATGTTTTTAAAACGAAACATCGCATGCAAAAACCAGAAACTTCTCAATCGTCCCAGACTGGACTCGAATACAACAACAACCATCTAGACACTCTCGGTTAAAACTAGTCAGGTGATTTCAAACAAGCCTACTAGCAGCAGCAACAACATTAAAAAAAAAAAAAAAAAGTACTACCTTCCAAATTAAAATCTCTCACTAACTTGATTAAATGCTTTTATCGCAAGTCCAATAATGTAAAAGGTATCAACATCTTTTACTTAAGAAAAAAAATAAAGAAATACCACAGACATCGTTTTTTGATCAGTGTTTTTATTAAGGGTATAATGCGAACAAGAAACATGTAAGAAACACAATAGCCAGTTAGATACATATATAAATAATAAATAAGAAAATCCCTTTAAAAAGTATCAAAGTTTCTTTAATAGAACATAATACATAGCCTCCATAATCCCTTGACCATACACTGATAGCAACGACTCCTTCCGTTTAAGCATTATCGTCATGTAATTAAACATACATAATACGGGTTACACATATAATAATTGGCTAATGTGCATTTAGGCATATTGTGCTGTGGCCGTCCACGATAAACTGCTCTTAACTTATACACTTGCGCTCGGGAATGACGCCGATGAAACTTTGCATCACGTTGTTTATGTCCAATAGCTGGACAATGTCTCCCTACACATGAGTGGAAGGCTGGTTGTACATGGGCTGTACTGCGTGTGCTGCAGGTGCTGCTGTCAGTTGCTGTTTCTGATCCATTAAGTTATGCTCTTTTTGGTGTATTAATAAAAAAATCAGAAATTCGCTTTCAAATAGGTAGACAGCATACTATTTGCAATTAGGCGAGGTTTGGCCGAACCCACTGAAAATGTAGAACCTAAGATACATTATTAACCACTTACTAAGGTCAAAATATTATTAGTATGTGAAACGTTATTTATGTATGTAAAAGATTGTTTTAAATTATATATATAGAATTGTGGCGGACATGTAGGTCTTCTACCATCCTCCAGGGGGTGCTGCAGCACCACCCGCTACTTATGCCCAACCTCGACATCAGAATCAGCTTTAGTGGCCAGGTGTGCTGGACACGAGAAATTTGACTCAGCAGCTCTCAATGTACATGTACATATCCCCATGCAAGGCAACAGCAAGGGGCAAGTAAACAATATACCAACCTAAAGCTGTGTAGTACAACAAAATAAACAGTATCAACAAGCAATAAACAATGCAAAATAAACAGTATAAACAGGTAGTAAACAATGCAGACAGACAAAGGAATGTTCACTGGGGGACGAGATAAAAATAGAATAAAAATGGACTACTTAAAAATAAAAATAGAGACCTGTATGAGTCTGTATAATCTGTACAGTATATATGTACAGGTATTGCACTGAGGGTTATTGTCCAGTCATAGTGTCAAGGGTTAAGTGTTAATCAGAGTGATGGCTCTGGGGAAGGAACTGTCCTTGTACCTCGTTGTTACAGTGACCCGTAGCGCCATCCAGAGGGGAGGAGTTCGAACAGATTGTGTCTAGGGTGTGAGGGGTCTGTAGTGATCCTCTCCACCCTCCTTTTGACCCATGAGGTGTACAGGTCCTCCATGGAGGGCAGGCTCACACCAATGACCTTTTCTGCAGTCCTGACTGTCCGCTGAAGTCTGTACTTGTCCTGTTTGGTTGCTGAGCCAAACCAGACAGTGATGGAGGTGCAGAGAACAGACTCGATGATTCCTCTGTAGAACTGTATCAGCAGCTCCTGGGGCAGGTCAAACTTCCTGAGCTGGCGCAGGAAGTACATCCTCTGCTGTGCCTTCTTGGTGATGGTCCTGATGTTGGACATCCACTTCAGGTCCTGGGAGATAGTGGAGCCAAGAAACTTGAAAGGCTTTACTGCTGATACAGTGCTGCCAAGTATGGTAAGTGGGGGTAAGGTGGGGGGGCTCTTCCTGATGTTCACTGTCATCTCCACTGTTTTAAGCGTGTTCAGCTCCAGGTTGTTGGGGCTACACCACAGGACCAGCTGCTCAACCTCCCATCTGTAGTCTGACTCGTCACCGTCTCGGATGAGACCAGTGACCGTTGTGTCATCTGCAAACTTTAGGAGCTTGACAGAGGGGTCCTCTGAGATGCGGTCTTTGATGTAGAGTGAAAACAGCAGAAGGGAGAGCACACATCCCTGGGAGGCGCCTGTGCTTATTGTCCAGGTGCTGGATGTGGTTTCCCCCAGCCTCACCTGCTGCTTCCTGTCTGTCAGAAAGCTAGTAATCCACTGACAGGTGGGGGCAGGGACAGTCAGCTGGGTCAGTTTGGAGTATAACCCTTTTTACTGTAATACGCTTGGAGCTTATTCTAAAGTAGAGGCTCATATAGCCTGTAGGCCTACTGTAAGCAGATCATGTAAGACAGGTGTGTGGTGCACATGCGGGCAAAACAGTTGCATACAAGATCTTAGCACACATACATTTACTATACAGCTAACATGCAGTCATAGAGCACATGCAGTAACTATACATGTACCTATGCTCATAGATAAGACAAGTCATATGAAAAAAAAGAAGTGATGAGAGGCAATCACTGATAATAAATAGGCTAATTGTATATGTTTATTCACCACTATAGCCTATCTAGTAAAACACTAAATATTATCTTTTGGAATAGAATTATATCATTGTGCTTCTGGGTTTCTCATTTACTTTAATAGAGGACAGACACTTGCAGATGGACAGTTTTACTATCCAGTAGGCTACTAATAAAGCAACTACTGAAAGCCTGCACAATTATCCTGCTATTTATAGGCCTAAGTTAATTTGCAGCCTATGCCACACACACCTTTTCATTGCACTGCATCCTTGCACTAGTTCCATAGGTAGAAAGAACTGACCTGTGTGTCCCCAAAACATCATATGACAACATAGGCTAAACTCTGAAAGCACTGAAGCCTCCTCACACACTTCATATTGGCATAAGAAATGCTGTCTTGCTGTTTGCTACTGCACAAGTTAATCCCTAAAGGTAATTATATTCATAATATTAGCATGAATTGAAATAATTTTTCCTCAAAGTACAGTAGACATTGGGTGTATGCCAGATGTGCTACATTAATGCATAAACTTACATTGGAGGTCAAAGATTGTAAACAGGCAGATTCAACCACTCAGGATCAAATCTGTTCACTTTATTCTCTGAGAAATTATATGCATATCAACATGTCACATTTTGCATTCAAAGCCAATGGTCTTCAAATAGCCCACTCATTACAAAAATATACTGTAGATACACATATTTAATATCACCACATTCAATATAAGTCCCAGAACAATGATGTCTCATGGTGCTAGCAGTTTTTCCTTACCTCTTACCAGCTTACTGTAGGTTTATCTGGAAGGTGATGGCTCCATCTTCTGGCAGTGGGGCTTCCTGTCTTCATGATTCAGTTCATTATGCTGAAAACATATTGTGCTTAAAAGGAAATTTTAAACTGGAGTCATTAACACTTGGAGCAATGTGAGCCCAGTGCAAGTCAATGGGGTCAAGAGGTTTCAGTCTCTGCTGGAGTTCAGGTCTCCTCTTCATGCTGCATTTCCACTCTAAAGTGTTACAACAATTCATGGTGGCTGTATCCTACACTGACCATGTAAGATAGATTACATTTTCCAGTTCTGTAAAGTATCCCAGTATGACTGCATCTGATTACATCTGTGCTTTTATTGTACAGGTGTAATCTATTAACTATTTCAATTGAGATGGGCACAAATAGATATTGTGTCCATGTCTGTCACCAATGCACCATATTCCCTTAGCATTCCATTTCCTTTTTTGAATGGTGTTGCTACGATGGGACTGATGTTACATGACATTACTGCAGTTATTTTCAGATTTCTCTCTCTCTCTCTCTCTCTCTGTATACATGCTATGCATACTGTATATATAAAACCGAATTAAATTAAACTCAGCCACTCTGCTCTTTGCCAGGTCTGCCTGGTCATTCATCCAGCCTGGTTATGTCTCATAAAAGAATGGCGTTTGTTTCGATTAATGGACAGAGCCACATATTGACACGTGGTGGTGGAGACCAGGATCCTGAAAGGAATTACCATAATGCAGTCAAGTGTAGGGGATGCTGTTGCTCCTTGGAGACAAATAAATAGATAGAGTAGGAATAAGAGAGCAAACATGAAGGTGTTTTTGACCCAATGGTGCCTTGGGTATTTCCTATATATGTCCCCTGGGGAATATATTATACACTTACACTGAGACAGCTGCACAGTTTCAGCTGAACAATGAACCCTGAAACATCAGTGTCGAGCACCTCTCATCACCCACACTTGCACTGTAATCCCTGTTTGCAAGGTCAAGAGATATTTTAATATCTACTGGTCACAGTCAGATTCACTGTTCATCTTTATTATAGCCGCCCACACCTGTTCTAGTGAATGTTTCCCAGGGGACGAGAAGGCATCACTATTACAGAGCCACATGGTCTTTGTTTTCAGCAATGCAGCCCATGTGTGTTGTGCAAGTTTGGAAATGAATGCAGGAAAAATATAGCATAGCTGCCTTATAGTTAACTACATAGATAAAATAGCATCCGCTGTATGTAGTGTCAGTGTTCATCTATCTGTCCTGGCACTGGAAAGGATGGCTCACCAAACAGGCCAAGTGGGAAGCCGTCCCAATCCCCTACTTTACTGATTCATCTTGATTTGTATGGAAAAGAGTTACTGTGTTGTCATCTATGAACTCCCTGAGAGGTCACAGTTGAATATTTTTCTGAGCTACTTTTGTGTGACATTTTATGTTTTGCACTCCCTCTGAACCATAAAAGAACCTTGAGCTGTGTTATGATATAGTATTACTGTATGAACTATGTATTTGCCACAGTGGTCGACTGTGACCACAGCACAAGTGGAAACACCCTCAGCTGTGGAGGGCTTAGCCCCAGTCTGTATCATTGCAGCCAATGTAAGAAAACTACTAGGGGCTGATTATCCTGGTTCTCTATAACGTGTTGTGACCGTGAATTGTGACAGTGAAATGTTGTAGCTTTAAATATAATTAATCATGCTGAAAAAACGTAGAAAAAATCAACTGGACTAGATCTTTTTAGGTCGAAGACGTTTCACCTCTCATCCA